TACATAGTTCAAGTTATGGCACGCAAGCTAACTGTGCCTTTTATTTTTGATAAACAAAGGAAGTGCAACTTAGAGAGTGATTGTCTCTCTGAAACTCTACAAGAAACGCAACTAAAACTCAAAGACACGTTTCTAAAAAGTTATTATAATAGAAGATAATAATCGGTTTGTATCGATGCAGGTAGTTTTATACGATGCATCTCGAGTTTATGTGCGGTTTTTACCGATGCAGACGTTTGCAAATCGATGCAACCGTATCGCACAGGTCGTTCCGATGTTCCGATACGCATCGGTGAATCTTGCCATGCCTACTAAGCACTGTGACCCTTTTCCCAGACATTCTCCACAGGGCCGGATGACCTAAGCCCGTGTACATACGCAGCTGCTAAAGCCATCACTCCCACACTGGAGACGCCTCACAACAGATGCATTTGCCTCGAGCCAAGGGACCATCTGTGGCTCTCCATATAGATTTGATAACTTAGACCAGTGGTTCTCAAACCTTTCTCAGTGATGTACCCCCTTGAAAATATATTTTTAGTCAAGTACCCCCTGACCCAGGCAAAAAAATTTTGGAAGAAAAAAAGAGGTACAGTGCTGTAAAATCACTGTCTTATTTATTAAAGCCAAACGTAACCATGGTAACGACAGGTCGTTGACAAGTGCGCTGGGTCCATGGGTCAAACTAACTTGGTGGGGGGTCCGTTTTATTTGAAAGGATATTGAAACTAAATACTGAATATAAAATGCAGTGCATGAACACACATTTATATTCTATCAAACTTTTTTTTTGCAGAATAATTTCTCCCAAGACTTATTATGAGGAGCCTACTGATTTTTAAAATATATTTTGAAAAGCTTCACGTACCCCCTGCAGTACCTCCACGTACCCCCATTTGAGAATCACTGACTTAGACCGTAACAATTCCCCCTGTTCTTAGTAAAAAAAAACAACTGTTACTAAATACGTTCGGCATACACTGTTTAACTTTTATCTGTGAAAATTCTTTTATCAAAATGTTATAAAAAAAAATAACCATTACCCCACACACCTTTATGCCAAATCAGTCACCTGTATTTCGTTTATCAATCACACAATTCACAAACAATCCACTTCTTTCCCCACATTTTTTCAATAGTCTTGGTCAAAAATCACCATCAGTATTAACCGCTCCCCCCCCCCAAAGTCACTCCATAGTGTAAATCCAACACCGGTCCTCTTGCGAAAATACAAAAAGAAAAACCCCGTAAAATTATACAAAATAAGTAAAAAAAATCAGTCTTAAGCAATGCATTGCATTAAAAAAAAATTGAAGGCAAAAATGAGAAAAAAAATGAGCGGGAAAAAAAGTCCTCCAGGCTTCGACCTCTTTTTCTTTGCTTTGAAAGTCCTTATTTCCCCAAATATTGTCCAGTGGGCTGATTTTTTCTTTTTTTCTTCAACCCCATCCGGCAGGACTCTTTGCAGCCTCCTCATTCAAACAACCTCTCTCTCTTTTTCATGCCACCTGCCACACCTTTCAAACATTTTTCCTCATTACCTCTTTCCCAGGTGCTCCCTGGATAGCTCCACCCCTATTTTCCAACCCCCCCCAACTCTCAAAGACACAGAGTATGGCAATAAAAGCCCATGAATTATAGAGGCTGATACATATATTGATAAAAACCCAACCAGGCCAATGTCAATTTTACCTGAGCCTCCAATTTTTCAAAGACCCTAACTTATGAGACGACATACACAGAAAAAACACCATCTTAACTTAATGTGGCAGGGTCACAAGACGTTTCCACTTATCAACGTGCACCAATTTTCTGTCTTGTCCAGAGAGTAATGTCCAGTTGTTTTTTTTATAGAGTGTGACTGTGAAAGTGGCCACTGTGACATGCATTCAGGAGAATGCCTGGCAGAAGCTGCAGCAGTACACCTCTGCAACATGAGTAAGTCAAACTTAAAGGAAGACCAGACATTTTACGGCAATTAAGAAAAAAAAGACTAAAGTTAAAGTTGACATCTTTCTGGTTTTAGCCTGCGACGACTGCATATGGCATCTGACTTTCGACCTGAAAAAGTCCAACCAGACGCTGGACCAGCTAAAAGTTGGAGTGCTGAACATCTCCACTGGTGCAGCTGCTAACGACAGGCTCAAATACTATAACTACACAGCCCACCGACTCCAGGTACACGCACAAATCACACTTTTTCAAGAAAATGTAATCGTGTTAAAACACATAATCATGTAACCAAATGCAGAGAATGATTTCATTTTAATGTTTTCCCTTAAAATCCATGAAAAGCTTTAGCATTGGTTAGCTTAACTGAGGTGACTTGGTGTCTCTGCTTTAATTACACTTTTTTTAGTCTTTCCAATCATGTGTCATTTCAGTGTCAGTGAGTGAATTACACCTGTAAATATCATATCTGCTCTGCGACAAACAACTAAAATCGTTCTGACTTGATTCATAGCTCAGATGACTGCCTTCAGCTTAAACAGCACTAAAGTTATTTGTTCATTATACCTTTGTAGATTGGAAAAAGGAAAAAAAAAACAAAGTGAGAAAGCAAAGATAGATTTATTCGACAATAAATTAGGCCAATCTGTAAAAGCCTTTTAGTCCGATAATGGTGAAAAAGTAGCTTTCTGTCAGTCGTATTCAGTTTGTTTGTGTATAGTGGGTTTAGGGGAAAAGAAAATTCCACGGCTGCTAATGACAATAATTCCAGGAATTCAGCGCACATCATTGCTGTCAGGTTCAAAGGGATTATGTCTTTTCTATACATCCTCACACAACAGTGACTTTTTACTATTTACTACTGAATGGTATGGTTAGGCATGAAGAGGCTTATCTACTTTGTTGGCAGATGGAGTTTCAGAGGTGGAAAAACAAGTCATCTGTGATGAAGGCCCAGACTGATGACCTGGAGTGGGCCACAGAAACTATGGTGCTGGACATCAGAGAGCTCGCCGAATCGGTCAGTAAAGTCCTCATCCTTCATTCTGTCCATTATCTGGAAGACTTCACAAACTCAAGC